ATGTCAACACACTAAAAGAAAGTATGATGAAAAATATTAAATGAAAATGAATTTATTGAAAATAACGAAAATACAGTGATCTGGGCAATGTTGAATCAGCAACAGATGACAGCAACAATGGAAATTTTATAGAACATGAAAAAAAAAATTCTTGGGTAGTAAATTTTGTTTTTATTAAATAAATTTGTTTGATTTTTCATACATTGTTCATTTTTCGTCACAATCATGTATCTGTATTTACAATCATTTCATTGAAATTCATTATATTAAGGTTATTTTGATTATATCGAGAGATATGGTCAAGAGAAGAGTTAGGAGGAGAGTTATTCTTCAACCAAGTCAAAAACCAACCCTTTAAATATATTTTCGAGTAGTACAATTTAATTTATTAGACTATTTCAATGGTTGCTTCCAACTTCTTAAATTCTTTAATGAAACAATTGTTGGTGAAGTGATTGTTGACAAAATGAATCAAACCCATATTTATCAAATTCGCGATTTTAATTGGTCAATCAACAAATAGCATGGGTTAAAATTTTGTGTTCCCAGAACGGTCTCTCCTGTTCATTAGATGTCAATGCAGATTGGGTGAGTATTTTTTTTTTTTAGTTAATTTTATTAAATAATAACATACTTAAATTTATTTTTATTATATTATAGGAGTTTGCAGAGGAAAATAATAGATAATTAACATTCTAATAAAAAAAAACTCTGATAGAATCATTATTTTTATTAAAGGTTAATAGGCTTTTAAAATAAATAAAATAAAAATGTTACCGGAATTAGATTTGGGCTCTTTTGGCCGAATTTAACTAATTCCGAAATTCTTAATTTTTATTATTAATTTAGTATTATTTTATTTTTATTTCTATTAAATTATTTGTATAACGTCGTAATTTATTTAACTTTATTAAGGAAGAATCGTCTTTCCAATATTTCAATTAGTGCAATTTTGAAATATTAGAATTACTAATTAATTGAATTGTATATAAGAAGCTTGAATTCAAAGTAACTTTCTAACAAGTTAATTAGTTTTGACTAAGAAAAACCAAATAAATAAAATAATAAATATTTTATTTAAACTATTATCTTCTTTAAACAAAATTATTCACTAATAACAAAATTAATTCATTGATAACCTATTCATTCTGATCCACACAAAACAAAAATAATTGTTATCACTGATTAAAAATACACTCTCCCAAAATTTAATCAGTGACAAAAGCAACAAGTGTAGTTAGTTCCTTGGTAAATTTAGCAATTATGGAGCTTTGGTAAAAAACTATGTAATGTTAGGATTAATGTTGATTAACTAGTAAATGTTAACAAAATTAGTAACATGATTTGCTTTAGTGAATAAGCAAAGGTTAAGACTAACATTGGTTAACTAGTGGGTATTAATAAAGTAAGGCTGTTAAACAAGCTATTTAAGTTGTTTTGCAAGTAAACCAAAGCAAGTTTGCAATTGGCCAATAAAATAAATTGAAGCCCTTGAGCTTTGTAAAAAGGCCATTGCTTGCCCAAGACCAATCTATACTGGCAATGAATAAAATAAAATCACCTCTATGACTTCATCACTCATTAATTTGTTTCTTACTGTCATTAAGTTTAATAAATTTAATCTTTCAATGAATATTCCACTTTTAAAGTATACTTAACATACCCTCATAAAAGGATATAAGTACACTCACTAGACAAAAGTCGGGCGCATTTTTAAACAAAAATTGCGCAAAAACGCACACAATAAAAACACAAATAA